CCACATTCGTTTTTACTAGAGCCACACCCGCAACATATAAACAATTGATTGTGCGTCAAAACACGCCTCCCCTCAAACCCAACTACTAACCCGAGCTCATCCACGGTGGCAGAAGAGAGCGTAATCGAGAGGCTTCGAGGGGCGCGGGGCCACTGCTGCTTCAACCCCCTTCGGCGGCTTTGATCGAGGCAACTTGCATGGGCGGGTGTGACCGTAAAAAAGCGGGTATTGCCCTAGTAAAAACGGGTGCGGCCCTAGTAGCCACCATTTTTATATTTCCTTGTCAACGTGAAGTTCTCCTTAAGTGGTATCCAAATTTTCATTAAGTGTGGCTTACAAGATAATACATTTCACAACAATTAGCGTTACCCTCATTAGGGATTGCTACTACCGCTGATTTCGACTGCAATTCGCGGTCGTGCCTTGCTTTCGAGAATGATGTGCACTATTTATTTCCCATTTCCTTACTGGCTCTTTGTTTTGCTCCTTTTGTTTGTCTTCCCTGGTCGGTTTTCGGTAGATATACTATGGCTAACCATCCGTAACCCTCTATAAACTTGCTAAACATCATTCTATCGATCATTGTTGAATTTTCCTTCGCAAGTTTACCAAAATTCATGTTTAAGATTAACGTCTTATCCAATATTTTACATTATTCAGAAATAATAAAATTCCAATATTTTTATTTAGTAGAAAATTCTTATTTTTTTCTATATGGTATATGAGCTAAAGACACTAACTGCAACATGTTTGGGCAAACGCCTACCGCATTTCGTTTAATTTTTTTAAATTGTAGATTACTATTAGAAATCTAATTTCATTGTTAACTTTAGTTGACTGATGATATTATACATATTTAAGTACACGATATGAACCTAAAATATAGAAAATATTTTTCTTTGGATATTTTAGGTGCACTAGTTCCAGTTCTGATGCTATTTGGACCAAGTCCTATGTTAGCGATTTGTTTTCACCATTGTGAGGGTACATGGGTTCTTCCCATAATGCTTGACATATAACTTGTAACTCCGAGCTTAACTTTACCCCAAAAAAACACGTGCGTCCACGTCTTATATTTTATTGAATTTATTATGTTTTGCATATGACTACAGATGTAAGTAAGACTTCCATTAGTTTTTCCACCTTGTTCATATTTGGTAAAGATTGGATATATTTCTAGTTAGATAACCCGCAGCGTACGACCTCACTCTTATCATTGTTTAGTTGTACTTCATTTACAATTTTCTTGAGTAGATTGAAGTTCACCACTAGATGAAATTCTCATGCTCATGGGTCGTGTTCCAACTCGGGATGTTCTACAAGCTCAGACTGGTAACTATTCGCTATACGAGGGTCTGTAGAATATTGTGCTTCTACTTAAAGCCTACCGTCGAAATTTATCACACTCAACGTATGAAAACAAGTTAGTCAACTTGCGAACATGTATTCGTCCATATACACTCTTTGCCGTTATGATGAAACTGTTGGCATAAATAACACGTGTCAAATCATGTTGTTTCAATATTCAAGAGGAGAAAAAACTTCATTGATAAGAGTCCAATCGAACTTTAAATTGGACATGTTGTGGACCGGAGATTGATTGACCGATATCGGTGTTGACGAGATTTCTTCTAGCATAAGACATTGTTTCCCAAGTCTTCCCAATGTATAAATAGGATTTGGGATGGACAGGATAATTATAATCACTATGAAGATTTAAGATTCAACTGGTGTAAAATTCCAATTAAATCACCACAAACCATCTCGCATTTCACCACACTATACACCGATAGTGTGAGTGAAATGCGAGATGGTTAAATACATAAAACATAAATTAGACTCCGATTGATTATCCATCTTGAAGCATCAGGTCCTAAGTAGAAAGTTCTCGTTGCCTATGAGTCACATGACCAGAGAAATAGACTCGTGGGTTTCTATATTTGGAGTATGAGTCGCATGCGAAGGTCATGCATGGCCATGTTTTTGTTATACATTTGACTCCTTTTTTGGCGAAAAGGGAGTCAAATGTATAACAAAAACATTTCTATGGCAAAAACATTTGCTCGATGGCAAAAAGTTTTTGGCATCGAGCCTATTCTACTTCATGAAAAGGTGAAAGTCCGATTGGGTGATAACGGCCTGTTGTTTCTCGCTGCGCAGTAGGGCTTTCCAGCCTACAAAACAGGGTGAAAACAAGGACTTGTACAGAATTTCTTCCTTCGACCAAATCAGTTGGGACTCTAATTTATGTTTTTCCGGGGGAGTGCACATGTGGAAGTGAGACTGTTGTCATGAGTCGACATTTTACAGGCTTTACGGCGCATTTGTCCTTTCCTCCCAACTGAACACTTCGAGTCGCAGCACTTCCAAATTGTTTGATTGCCAGCGTCTTCCCTCGTGGAAGTCTCCAATGGTTGGAAGTCTCCAATGGCTGGAGACTTGGCAGAGTCCACAAAAGAAGGTAAAATTTTGCAATGCGTGGAGAATGTGGGTCACCAACTAAAGGATGCGCATAGGCAGAATTCTGTCATCTGGACATTTGAAATTCCTGAAGAAAAGAATTCTGAATCTCGAAATGGATGGATTGAATGAGATCTTCTCCAATTCCGTGTAAGCAGACCCAGACAAGGCACCGAATTGTGCAAGCTGGTGTTGGCTCAGATGCTCAAACTCGTTACTTGAACACTCGACAACAGGCTACCCTCGAAATCGATCCCAGCTTTGGATAGTGGTTTCGAAGGAGAAGAGATAGCCAGCGCGATCGAGGCGTCAGAGATGTTCTACACTATCGATCTCGTGAATTCCCAAGCACAGAGACACATCCAGGATGTCGATTAACAGGTTATTATCTCCGCGCGATAAACTCAGAAATCGTTGAGACTGACAACCTGTTTGGTAACACTGCGAAAAGATAAGTTTGAAACTGTGAGGGAAGGAAGATAACGTGTCAATAGTGTAAAGGATTCTTCTAGGATCAATTTTTCACGATCAATATCTCAATCTCAAATGTTTTTCTTCTAGGATCACAGCTCTGTCCGACTCCATCCTACGGTTCAGTTCTATCACCCTCACGCTCCAAATCCCATAAGCTTTTTAAATGAAGCTAGAGGCTCCAGCAAGCCTGTTTTCCTCCTGTGAGATCCAAAGTAGAGCTCATGAGTTATTCTGAGGTGCCCACCTTGCCGACTCTCCACGTTCGAGTGAAATTCACGAGCAAGTTTTAATGCCCACTTTTTGATGATACTGAAGCCATTTTGAACTCAATATCCATGATTAGCCGATATTTCTCTTCAAATTTCAGCTCAAAGGTTTCATTCTCATTAATCTCTTGTGCATGACCAACATTTATGCAATGCGATGATGACTTGGTGACATCTTGGAAATGGGTTCATCAAGACCATCTTATTCTTCGGGGTCAACCTCATTTGTAGGTGCATACTCTGAGGATTTTGATCCTGGTTCAAGCACAAGTTCACAATATATAAGAGCTTTGCCCCTCGCCTTTTGAGCTTAAGTATGTGTGCCATTCTTACACACATACAACAGTGTGTAAGAATGTCCCTGGTCCTTAGTCTTTAGTTTAAAACATTTTCGACCAGAACCCGATACCGCAGGACAGTATAACACACACACATATATATATAAATCTCACAATAGAGTCAATTTAGCAAGTGAGCTTCAACAAGAGCAAGAACATTTTAATAGTTCATATTTACATCAAATATAAGCTCCAAGTTCTGCGAGAAGGTTCTACAACTGCTTATCATTCTTGTTACATTTGAATGGTCTTAATCGAAACAAATTATAAAGGATGCGCTGCCATATTTTCGCCCGTGGTTTCGATCCTCGAACTTGTGGACTGATATGCATCAATGTTGTAACAAGGTACGTCTCCCAGTGAAGGGGCTCAATCATTGGAGTTAGTTTTAACATGTCGCGGGTATCCATTCGAAGCATTAGAACGGGCTGTACTAAATTGTCTGTGACATTGGCGGAGGAGTTTCCTGATCAGGACGTCAAACTCGATCTTGCTTGGCTGAACATGCATCTGATCAGCTTCCTGTGGACTGTCTTTCTCGATTCCAGCTGCAGTCTTATGGAAGCCGACACTTTCTGGAAGTCTGAGCACTTTCTGGAAAGCGGCCAAGCTACGTTCAGCGAGTAGATCCAAGAATCATTTGCCAGTCTGATATATCAAAAGTGTGGAAGTCTCGTCGCTGGAAGTGGACGCCGTCAAGAGGAAAGGATTCTTGAGTTCTTCAAGGAGAGCGACTCGGGTTCTGTCCCATGTACTGTGTGGTGATTTGAATTGAATTGACCTGTTAAGACGTGCTGCTCTCAAGGTCTTACCTGCTCTGAGCTGCAACGGAATGGTGGAGCTGTCTGTGCAGCAGCACTCCGGATGGTTCTTGAAACGAACGCTCTGGTGCCCGGCGGAGGGCGGTACGGTGTTTTGTCAGCTGCGGGTTTAGCTTGAGGAATTTCCTGCCCCGGCGCGCAAGTTCACCGCTATTAGAGCGGGCGATGTCTTATTTTAAGAGCGTGAGCTCGACCTTTCGTACACAGACGCACTTTTCGTACCTCTATGAACTTTGTGCCTCGGGTTCTGTCCCGTGTAATGTGTGGTGATTTGAATTGAATTGACCTGTGGAGACGTGATGCTGTCAAGGTCTTACCTGCTCTGAGATGCAACGGAATGGTGGAGCTGTCTGTGCAGCAGCACTCCGGATGGTTCTTGAAACGAACGCTCTGGTGCCCCCGACGGAGGGCAGTACGGTGTTTTGTCAGCTGCGGGTTTAGCTCGAGGAATTTCCTGCCCCGGCGCGCAAGTTCGCCGCTATTGAAGCGGGCGATGTCTTACTTTAAGAGCATGAGCTCGACCTTTCGTACACAGAGGCACTTTTCGTACCTCTGTGAACTTTGTGCCTCGGGTTCTGTCCTGTGTACTTTGTGGTGATTTGAATTGAATTGACCTGTGGAGACGTGTTTTCCAGAAAATCAGGAAGCTTTATGAACATACATAAAAGACGATAATCTATACAATGTTTAAGTATAAATACTCAATAGAACCTATATACTAAGTGTATTTACAGGGGATATCTCAAACAAATGGTTCGTGGCACCTAGTCAAAGCTCCAAGCCTGTATATTACATTGACTCTTTTGCAACGTGGAGACAAACTCTACCGAGGGGAGTATGAAATCCTGCAATCATGATTCGTCGTGGAATCTGGCTCTACTTTACACAGTCCAATTGGAACAACTCAGTGCAAACAACGCTGTGCTAGGCTCAGCACCAGTAGCACATGTGTATGGCGGGCAACGAGTCCCCATTCATGCAGAATCTCGTAAGCCCCAGCTGGACCCCGGGGTCCAGTGGGTGCAAAAAGAGCGGTCGCGTACGCAGCAATCAACTGCTGAATGATTTGCTCTATGTCTGTTCGTTGAACACTCCGTATCTACCGTCCTTGAAATGGCGAGCGAAGTCTTGAGTATTCAGTAGCCAGTGTCGTGCGCAGGGCATTGTTCTCAGCGTTCCGATCACGACCCCGATCACAATCACAACCCCGATCGGAATTCCGATCTCGAAGGCCCGCCAGAATGTACCATCCAGGAGCTTGAACGACAGAGCCCTGAGTGTGGCCGAGCTTCCGCTTGCGTTGCTAACTTGCGCCTCACAAGTGGTGTCGAGCGGGGCCCCGCAGAGCTGATCGTTTCCGGGCTTGAAGGACGATATGTCATACCTCGTGGAGAAAGCATTCGCCGTGGGGATCTCGCCCTCGAGGAAATTGTAAGAGAGATTCAGATAGCTCAAGCTGGGCGTGCTCAGCACCAAAGGAATCTTCCCCGTGAGATAGTTGGCCGACAAATCCAACGACTGGAGACGTAATAGATCTCCGAAAACCTGAGGGATTTCGCCCGAGAAATTATTGTGTGTCAGATTCAAGTACGTCAACCCGCGCAGCTCTCCAAGCGCATACGGAAGCCTCCCGGAGAGCTGGTTGTATGACAGGTCGATGGAGAACAGAGTCTTGAGGACGTACTCGAGTTCAAGTCGCGAACCTTTGGCCTCAATGGAGATTTGCTCGAGCAATCCTCTCCCCTCCACCTCGACCCGTTCGGGGAGGATTACGTGGATGGCCCTGCTGTCTCCCCCGGCGTCGTCTGGCGACGCTTGAAGGTGACTAAAGCCTTCCAACCCCGAGAGATTGGTGGGCCAGACTCCCGTGAATGAGTTGTGCGACAAGTCAAGCACTTGCAGCTCCGGTAGCTTCCAGATCCAGCCAGGCACGCGGCCGCCGAATTCGTTGGATGATAGTTTCAAAACTCGCAATTTGCGTAGCACTGGCTGAGAGTACTCGTAGTTGTCCGGGAGCTCCCCTGAGAATTCATTGTTGCTCAGATCCAGGAGCATTAGATTCGTGCAGTTGTACATGCTCACGGGAAACTCTCCGCCCAGCTGGTTCCCGTTGACAGAAAAGCTCTCGAGGAATCGAAACTGCAAGAAGTCAATCTGAGTCACATTGCCCGTGAGCTTGTTGTTGCTCAGCCTGATGTTTCTCAGGTAGTTGCAGTTCGTCAGAGACGCGGGAATGGTTCCCGTGAGGTTGTTGCTGTGGAGGATGAGATACTCTATGTACAGCAATCGCCCCAACTCTGGAGGGATTCCTCCCGTCAGAAAATTGTTGCTCAGATTGATCTCTTGGATGTTCTTCAGGTCGGCCAAGCTCGTGGGTATGGACTCCGACAGCCCGTTATTGTGCAGGAGGATCAATATCAAGTTCCGCAGCTTACCGAGCTCGGCGGGAATGGGGCCTTGGAAGTTGTTGTTGTTCAGGAGCAAGTACGTTATGACGGCAGAGAGCAACGAGAGGTTTCTCAACGGCTCCAACGTGCCAGTGAGCCTGTTGTTCGATGCGTACAGGGATCCGAGCTGCGAGAAGTTTCTCAGCGGCTCCAACGTGCCCGTGAGCCTGTTGTTCGCTACGTACAGGGATCCGAGCCGCGAGAGGGTTCTCAACGGCTCCAGCGTGCCCGTGAGATTATTGTTCCCTGCGAGCAGGTTTTCGAGCAACGAGAGGTTTCTTAGCGGCTCCAACGTGCCCGTGAGCCTATTGTTCTCTGCACCCAGCATAACGAGCAACGAGAGGTTTCTCAGCGGGTCCAGTGTGCCCGTGAACCTGTTGTTAGATGCATACAAGTGAACGAGATGCGAGAGGTTTCTCAACGGCTCCAGCATGCCCGTGAGCCTGTAGTTCGCTGCGTACAGTGATTCGAGCTGCGAGAGGGTTCTCAGCGGCTCCAGCGTACCCGTGAGATTGTTATTCGCTGCGCCCAGATTAACGAGCAGCGAGAGGTTTCTCAGCGGCTCCAGCGTGCCCGTTAGTTTGTTGCCCACTGCGTCCAGCGCTTGGAGCTGCGTGCAGTTGTTGAGGTTCTTAGGCAATTCTCCGTCCAGCTGGTTGTTGCCGAAGCTGAACTCTCGGAGGTTGGCCAGCTGCCCCAGGTCCTCGGGGAGGCTGCCGGTGAACTCATTGCTGGACATGTCAAACATCGTCAGCGCCGTCATGGCCGTCACAGCTCTGGGAAAGCCGCCACGAAAGTTGTTGCCGTCGATGAAGAGCTTTTCTAGCCGACCCCACGAAGTGGATTCCACTGTCAAAAAATTTCCTGTCAGGAAGTTGCTCTCCACGTTCAGAAACTCGAGCTCCGACAGCGATGCCAACTCCACGGGGAACTCGAGCTCCAGGGCATTGTTTCCCAAGTGCAGATACTTGATCTTCGTCAGGTTGCCCAGCTCGGATGGGATGGAGCCTGTGAAATTGTTCCGGTCGAAGCTCAGATACTCCAGATTGACGAGCTGGCCGTACTCTCTCGGAATGGGACCCGTCAGATAGTTGTTACCGAAGAAATCCAAGTACCACAGCTTCGTGCAGTTGGCGATGGACTTGGGAATGGAACCTCTCATCATATTCGACAGGTAAGGGTAGTACTCTTGCTTGGCGTCGAAATTGAAGAGAGCCCAGGGCCAGAACCTCGAGTTCAGAGAGCAGACCCAACTCCTCCGGAATGGATCCATTGAAGAACCAGCCCTGCACTCCGATGTAGAGAATCCTTAAGCTGGACATGTTGCCGTACTCTGCAGGAACTGCACCGAAGAGAAAATTGTCATGGACGATCAAGGTCTGCAGCCTCTGCAGCTGGCCCCATTCCACGGGCAGCTTGCTCGACAGGAAATTGTGGCTCAGATCGAGGTCCTCGAGGTATTCGAGGTTGCCCAACGAAGGACCCAAAGTGCCGTGCATCTGCAGCCCGGAGAAGTTGAGGGAGATCACGTGCAGCTCATCGTCGCAGATGACCCTCGTCCACAAGCAGTAGGTGGAACGATTCCCCGTTGTCCATCCATCCAAAGCGTTGTCCGTGTAGTTTTCGATTTCGGTCTTGAATTGCAGGAGCACATCGGCCTCCCTGGGACAGTGGCAACACATTGGACTCTTATGGCATTAGAGATGAAATTCACTCATGCTCATGCACATTTAATTGCACATGCTCGGACGAAGGACACAAGCGACAGGTGCAGAATTGTGCACTTTTCTATCAGATGATATCTTGGTGCTAAATGTCACTGACCCGAAGCTGTCTTGGAGCAAAGTGCGAGATATTCCTCTGGAGTGTGCAGATTCTTCCTGAAAACGATGGAGAGGCTCATGACGATTCGTTAACAAAGTGTCGACGGCTTCGTTCTGAAGTCTAAACTGTTGCAGCTCTCGCTCGCTCCTTTGACCGCCATGTGCTTGTTGGTGGTCCATATGCGCTTTGACGGAGGAAGCCAGAGGAAGTCCCCTCTCGCTGTTGATGCTGCCATGCTGTTTCCCGGCCAATTCTGCACGTGCATCAAAATCTGGATCCTGGAGAGTCTCATCAAGAGTCTCGTTTCTGCTTATTTCTCCGAATATGGTATCCTCCTTACCAACGGCGCAAGCACCGAGCTGGAGGCAACATAGCACCAGAATCAACAGCATCCTTAAGCGTTCGCGGAGAGCGGGCAGATCAGGAGAGGAAACGACCGATGCCCGACCTGTAGATCTTCTGAGTAAGTGCATGGTGTCCACCTCCAGATAAATATAAAACTCAATTCTCCATGTACTCCTCAATCTCCATGCATCGTGGAATTGCGAATTGTTAATCAAGCAACTATCTTCTGTTTTGAGCAGCAAATATTTTCAATATAACTATGATGAGTGCATGGTATATCTTGAAATGCAAAGAATATCTGTAAGGTAGCTCCCGCCAAAAGTTATCTCAGATAGGACGGCTGTCATCGACGACAGAGAGAAGCATTTATCATCCAACAAAATGCAAGAAAATACATTTTCGCAGGTTGTCTGCACAAAAACAATTTCTACTCACTAGGAGCTTTAAGAAGAGCAGTGCAGCACGGGGTGGGCACTGGTGAAGATGGCAACTCCCTCAACTCGTGCTGCATGAAAAGAGTAAGAGTACACTGTGAGATAAATTGCAAGCCTAGCAAGTTGGCTTGGAATTTCAAAGGAGAAACAAAAGGTAAGGAGTGGCCCCCCTCCGAGCAGAAATCAAAATCGACCAGGAGGACTTGGAGGTGAGAGCAAAACCAAAGGAAGACGTTCAAGTCGATAGTGTTTGATGTGTCAGGCAAACAAAAAGTTAAAACTAAGAGTTACCTTTATACAGTCTCCAATGGCATGAGCGTCTTCATCTGGCTCAAACTGGTTATGCCCCCCTCATAGTCACGGACTCTACGCTCAACTTCATCTACATCTGCTGACTGACGTAAGATTCCTTCCACGCCCAGACCTGAATCACATATTTTCAATGAAAAGTTCGAAGTCTAAATCAAGGTGTGTCATCCAGACGGTCAAAGAACAGATTGGCTACTAAACACTTGGTAAACTTAAATAAAAAATAGCTTATAATGAACAATAGCTGAAGAAAAGAGGAGAAAAATGCTCATGATTTGAACAAATAAAATGCACTAATAATTTGTACCTGGTAATTTCCAAGTTCGCCAAAAATAAATCAGTGAATCACGCAATTTCCGAGAGCTCCTAAATTCGTGATTATTAAAATTTGAATTGAAATACTTCTAAAGCAAAAATGCTAGCATAGCTAAGTGGATAGAGTTTGCAACTCCTAATTTCAAGGTAGGGGTTTGGTTCTCCTTGCTGACGGTTTGTGTGAACTGTGTACCACGATTCTCTATGAAGCAAAGAGCCTTCTCCAGGAAAGAAGGGCTTCCATCAATATCTTCCAAGGCAAGCAGGATAGGTCTCCCGACAACCAGGGATTTTACAGGTCTTCTATTCCCTTGACCTGCACATAGCCGAGGGAAACGGGGACATCACTACAAGCAAGCTCTATTTCTGCTCAAAACTAGTACTGAAATCTCCAGTGCAACTTGAATAGTTGTTCTGAACACACGATAGAGATTACATGCAATAGTTCACAGATCTAGTAAGCCTGCCTCTGTGACATTGGGCTGAGGAACAGAGGCACCTTGCTTACAACTGGTTCATCTTGTCCCCTCCGAGTGTTTGAGACCCACAATCAGCGTGTCCCTACCAAGCAGGTGGATACATGAGCTTGAATGTTTTAATAGCTTTCTCAGACTTTCGAGGATTTGGACCCCCTGTTATATCCGACGTTAGCCCGATGGACAGCTCGTTGACAAGTCCCGACACCTGAGCAAATAAAATTCTGCCCATTGCTGCGATTGTGAGGCGTATAACGTCCATGGTTACCCCCCGATCCGCTTGAACTGTGCAATACACTCCTGAGTCTGGTCGGAGGACGATGAGAGGGATGCATGCGAACGATCTCTGCTCGGTGTACAAACTCGCAACTCGTAAGTCTGAATTGATGAGACGCATTGGACATGATCTGACTGATATACGTTCCCTCGTTCGTTGCTCTGTATAGTCTACGCTGCGATCATGAAGACTCGATTTGACTTTAGTCTCTGCCGAAATCTTCATGAATTGGCAGAGGTCCCTCAAATGGCGGTCCTGACACAGCCATTGACCACTGAACGTCATCCCAAATAAAGGATGCCCCTGTTCTGTGTTTGCAAATTTCAACGCTTTCTATTGAGCCCAATCAAAGTTGACGCAGTCCAACTAAACTTAGACTAACCTCTGCTTCCGGGAGAACTTCATCAAGTCTGATTCCTCATGCGCCTAATCTAATCATATTAGGCACATATCCGTAATGAAATTAGGTAGGATTAGGCATCAGTTTAAAAAAACCCAAGAATGATATTATATAGATTTTGATTCAAATTTTTGGAGTAATTATTCAATTTCAGCAAGATATTATAGAGAAAGAATTTTAAACGAAATTTATTCTATCAGATTCAACCAAAACTTCTCACAAAAGTAAGACATGAAAATTTTTCAATCTAAATAAATTTCTCTCAACTCTATAGTGTATCTATTTTTTCCCTATTTGCCCTAATCTCAAGTTTGGGACGTTAGTTCGATCCACTATAAAACTCTTCTGATATGTATCTTGCCCATGTACAATCACTATTATCTATCTGACTTTTACTTTCTCAGTCTCTATGAACTAACGTAACAGTCAGCATTTCTTAGAAAATATAATCTCCCTATTTTATTGCTTCAAGGTGCGTAACATATCATACTGTTTACATTGGAGAAATATTTATAAATTAAAATCAATCAGTGACATGTTAAAAATGTTATTTTTTTTTATTTGAAAATTGAGAAATCACTCTCGACAAGCGTCATATTTGGAAACAATGAACCCTGTCTACCGACGAAATCTACGGTTCGTTCGACAAGCGTCATATTTGGAAACAATGAACCTTGGCTACCGACGAAATCTACGGTTCGTTCGATCGTTTTGCTGGTCTGCCATTTGGAAATTTTTCTTTGTGAAACTACTCGAGAAATAATTTGGAAATTAGGCATTCCATAGATTTGAAACTAGGGATATTATGCATCTATTTTTAGAATGCCTAATGTACAAAGTCCTGCTCATGCGTGTGCCTATCCTGAAGTCAACAAAAGAATTGATAAGAAAGATTTAAAATAGAGGGTAAAAGGTACCATGCCGGGGATTGCTATTACCGCTGATTTCGACTGCAATTCGATGTCATCTTCAATCTGAACTCCAGAACTCGATGGAGGATCGATAAGGTCCTGCAGAATTGCTCAGTTACATATCCAAGCTCGCCCCCCTAGGAGACCAAGCTTACAATTTCAAAAATCATTTTCTGTTCATTGAGTACAAAAAGGTGATCTTATATTCAGAAAAAAGCTAAAAAAAGATGCTACTTTATCTTATCTGACAATTGCTGTGAATGACTGACGTGGAAAAACTACTTATTGTTTCGAGAATGATTTGCACTATTTCTTTCCCATCTCCTTACTGGCTCTTTGTTTTGCTCCTTTTCTTTGTCTTCCCTGGTCGGTTTTTGGTGGATATACTATGGCTAACCACCCGTATGAGAGGTCGGAAAAAGGAGAAATCACCCATTCATACCGCTCCCTCGATCCAATATTGCTTCACAACTTTAAGTCGGATATATGTCAATGAATTTAGTAACAATTCCATACCATGTTAAGTGAATTGCACCTCAATAAACTTGCTAGACATCATTCTATCGATCATTGTTGAATTTTCCTTCTCAAGTTTACAAAAAATCATGTTTAAGATTAAAGTCTTATCCAATATTTTACATTATTCAGAAATAATAGAATTCCAATTTGTTTATTTAGTAGAAAATTCAAAGTTTTTTCCTCTAGCCATATGGTATATGAGCTAAAGACACTAACTGCAACATGTTTGAGCAAACGCCTACCGCATTTAGTTTCATTTTTAAAATTGTAGCTTACTGTATAAAATCTAATTTCATTGTTATCTTTAGTTGACTGATGATATTAAACATATTTAAGTACACAATATGAGCCTAAATAAAGAAAATATAATTGTTTGGATATTTTAGGTGCACTAGTTCCAGTTGTGATGCTATTTGGACCAAGTCGTATGTTAGCGATTTGGTTTCATCATTGTAAGGATACATAGGTTCTTCACATAATGCTTGACATATTACTTGTAACTCCGAGCTTAACTTTACTCCAAAAAAACACGTGCGTCGACGTCTTATATTTGATTGAATTTATTATGTTTTGCATATGACTACAGATGTAAGTAAGACTTCCATTAGTTTTTCCACCTTGTTCATATTTGGTAAAGATTGGATATATTTCTAGTTAGATAACTCGCAACGTGCGACCTCACTCTTATCATTGTTTAGTTGTACTTCATTTACAATTTTCTTGAGTAGATTGAAGTTTACCACTAGATGAAATTCTGATTTTCATGGATCGTGTTCCAACTCGGGATGTTCTACAAGCTCAGACTGGTAACTATTCGCTATACGAGGGTCTATAGAATATTGTGCTTCTACTTGAAGCCTACCGTCGAAATTTATCACACTCGACTTGTGAAAACAAATTACAGTAATCAACTTGCGAACATGTATTCTTCCATATACACTCTTTGCCGTTATGGTGAAACTGTTGGCATACATTAACACGTGTCAAACCATGTTGTTTCAATATCCAATAGGAGAAAAAAACTTCATTGATAAGAGTCCAATCGAACTTTAAATTGGACATGTTGTGAACCTGTTATAACCCACCAAAGGCTAAAACTGCAGTATGGTGGTAAAAAGGTCAAACCCACAGGGACAGAGGCAACACACAGAGTACAAAGTGTCACGTTTAACAGACTTTTGGAGAGTTTGAATTCTCAGGCGACTGTCACTCCCAGAAATACTGCAAGTGCTCAACTCGGAGGTCACTCGGAGGATGCACAGTGCAGCGTAAGTCACTCAACACACACACCTGAAACTGGAAAAAAAAACACCACTCAGAGGTCGGTCAGGACCTCTTCTCAAGATTTCAAGGGGAAAGTCTCTCACGAGTACATTCAGAGGCTCTGCAGGTAGTGACTCCCAACTCTGGCTTTTACAACCCTTCCGCTAGTTTCTGCTAGCGCAGGGAACCCGGATTGGACTTCCTACTTCGGAACAAAGTCACTCATACGCGGTGGGCGTCACCCTCAACTCACACCAAGCGTAGAGAATACAGGTCCGACTGAGAAACTCAACTGAGACACAATCCAGTAACACACACCATAACAGACTTTTGAGGGGTTTGAATCCTCAGGCACTAGTCATTCCCAGAATTACTACAGAGGTGTGCCCCAAGGGTGCCTTCTGCAGCGTAACCTGAATTGACAACCAAGGTTTACACGAAGTAGCAAAAATTCACTTTGGCATTCAGGGGAAACGTCCCGTAGGAGTACAATCAGGATAAATCACTCGAAGGTGTAAGGGAGAACTGCTCAAGTATCTAACTCGCAACCGGCTCTGAGCATCGGCAATCACCCGCAGGTGTAGATCCGCACTACTCAAGTCTCTAACCGGTATACTAGCTCTGAACATTCAGTCGAAGGCCTTCAGCTACAAAATGCGGTACCTTCGTCAAGCTGTAGCTCCTCTTGCGTGGTGCCAGAACTAAACACACAAACACGCAGAGAAAGTGAGATCCTGATCTGCACTTCCGAAACTGGAAGAATCCCAAGGCAAGACGCCTTGAACTACTTTATACCTTCTAAGGTCCTAACTAACACTACACTGCACTACTTGCTACTCTAAATGCCTGCACGGAACCAAGCTACACTGCTGCACTCTGCAGATTCTGTACTGCGCGACGGACTGCCGCGCACTAACTCCCTGCCCTGCCAGTCTTCCGCTCGGCTGCGCAACCCCAGCCGCCGAAGGACCCCAGTCACTTCCGACTCCAAGTGCGCCATAGTATCGCGCGCACCCGACAAGAAGGCCTCTAATTTCCTCGCCATTCGCCGCCGACTCCGACTGTCACCCTCCGTCAACGCCGCCGCCCGAAGCTCAAACTCCCTGAGTGTGATTTTCTCCTGCGCCGCCACTTCCCAATGGGTGTAACCTCTGAGACAGTGGGTCACCCGCGCCACCAACTCCTCTCTCGTACGATCCGCATCGCGCCGGCTGCTGCCTTCCACCTCTGCCAGCTGCACCTCAGCCTCCGCGCGCTGCGCCCTCAATTCCGCGCACTCGGATTGCAAGTTGCGCAACAACTCCTCATCCGCTTTGCGCGCGCTCTAACATTGCTCTAATGCGCGCGTCTGGCTCGCAAGCTCCTCTGTCAGAATGCGATTTTGTCTCCGCTCTTCCTGCAATTCCAACTCAATCCTTGCCCGCAGCAGCTCGACATCCTCCTGGACTTTCATCGCCGCATTCTCACGCTGTTGTTGCAGGGTTTGTTGTAGCCTCTTTGTGATCGCCAGGTGCTGTTGGAGGGCATCATTCTTCATCTCCAACTCTCGGCACCTAGTGCCCCAAGTGAGCAATGCGGGATTCGTGGCCACCTTGGTCATCGTCCTGTTCTTGACTAACTCCACATAAGACTCCGGCTTTCTAGGATTCGCGTACTTTGCTGCCTTGCGATCCAAATATCGCAAGAGTGGCACTATCTGCTCGCACAGTACCCTTGTTGGCGTCCCATGCACAGAGTCCGCTTCCAGTTCTTCCGAACTCGTCTCATCCTCTGTTTCGAGGATTTCAGTCGCCACAGAAGCTCTTGGCGACTCCTTGGAACTGTGGTGCGTGGCAGCTTCCGCCGCGACTGCCGCTCCACTCCATGCTAAGATATCCAAGGCAGTGGGAGATCCCACTGCCTGAGCCTCCGCTCCGGCTTGATCTCCTGTTCTCGAAGGGGTCGGCGCCGCAGTCACTCTTGTCGCCCCTCCACCGCCCGCTTCTACTGCCTACTCCGGCGCGATCTGCGCGGAAGGT